TGGCCGCCCCACCTGCTTGATCAGCACCGAAGTGTACATAGGTGTCAGCCAGGGTGGATACACATGTGTAGTCCCACACCAACTGTCTACCCTCCTTCCATGAGTATATGGTGATGCCATCAGGGCGAAGTGCTGGGTCATCCGGATTTTGGACCCCTAGGATGCGAGGTTCTCTCTCCGCTGGGCACTGAGCTGAGACGAGGCTCCTCTTGATGATGTCATTGACCTCGTTGTGTCTTGCATGCCAGCCCTTTGTGCTTCCGCAATGCAACCCATGCAGTCCATATTGGTCTGCTTCCACCCTGTTGCAAATACACTTGTATTCAGTGTGAATTGGGGCACCAAGGCGGAGGGCCACTGCTACACGAAGGGATTCTGGATCTAGGCGCGTGCCCATTGCAGACATGGGTACTGCCAGGAGGAAGTCTCCTGCATGGGGGCAGGCACTGCTCTGAGGCGGGCTTTCTCCTTGTCTGATGTTGCGACGCTGAGCATGGCATCAGCTACTTTTTTCCACTAGTGGGTGGTCCCAGCTGGACTGTTTGTGTTGTTTTGTTGGCTCTATAATGGTTGCTGGGGCTGCAAGAACATTCCACTGATTTGAACATTCAGTGAAAGCAGGATCGTGTATTCCTGCTGAATCTCTCGGGGGTTCAGGTAAAATATCTCTGACGAGGTCGTGCGATGCATGGGAGGAGGGAAGGAAGGCTAGTAGAGCAATCTGGAAGGCTGTGCGGACACCAAGGCCGCCGAGTCTTACAGGGAGGGTTGCTTGCTCCCACTGAGAGTCGTCCAATGGCAGGTTCAGGACTTTCACCAGCATGGACCTCAGAAGGGTGTCATACACATTTAATTTAGGGCTGCTGTAGGATGGAGAACATTTCAGAAAGTAGGTCAACTTAGGAAGAGATAGGCATCTTGTAAGGAGGAGGAGAAAATCATGGGCATCAATTTTGTCAATCCTGTCCTGCATTCTCTTTAGGTCAGTGATTTTTGCAGCCAGGACCTCCTCGATTGCTCGTGGGCCAATGGGGGCACCCAGGAGAGTGCAGTCCGGTGGTTCGACAACGAGAATGTCTGGAAGAGCATTTTGTATTTGCCCAGTGATGTCTGGGTTGCGGGAGATTATTTCACATTTGGATGCATTAAGAATGAGGCCTAAGGCTGCTCCCTGTTCCTGGATTTTCCTTATATCCCCCAAATGGTTTCCGGAGTTCCAGCTAGAGTGCCATCATCCAGGTACCAGATGTTTAGCTCGCTTGTCAGACTATCAGTGACCTCTTTGATAGCTAGGCAGAAAAGGAGGGGGCTAAGGGGTCACCTTGTTGGACACCTTCACAGGAGTTTATTTCATGCTCCCCAAAAAGAAGCTTAGAGTCCCCACTGTAGCACGATCGGATGAATGGGTAAAGGGGACGGAAATGGTTGTGTACAGCCCTGAGGACAGCGTCTCGTCTGACTTGATTGAAGGCATTTTTGAAGTCAAGCTTTACTAGTGCCTTCTGGTCCGGGAGATCAACAATGTAAGCCCGCGCTGCATGTGCTGCAGCTTCACAACCTAGGGGAATCCCAAACCCGAGCTGATGAGGTTTCAGCAAGGTGGCTGCTTCCTGGCTGATAGATCTCACTGCAGCCTTAGCTACAAGGCGTCGGAGGGTGTTGCCAACGGCAATGGGCCTGATACCCCTATCCTTCTTCTTTAGAGCACAGAGTGCTGCTCCATAAAAGACAGGCCTGATGTCCTCAGGGATGCCGCCAGCCAAACACATGTTGGAGAATCTGGTAAGTTCCACTAGAAGATCCTTTGCAGCATCTCCAAGCACCGGGTTCAGCATTTGTTTGATGTGCTGGGGTCTTAGGCCTGTAAAGCCCCCTGCTGAACCTGTTGGGAAAGACATGGCTGCTTTGTACACCTCAGATTCTCGAACAGTCAAGGGTTCTATGCCAGCATTGTTTTCCTGGGGATCCCTGCTGCTGTCGGGGGCTCTGGGTGGGTGTTTGTCTTGAAGAGCCTCTGCTGTCGTGGCGTTCCTGGGGGCAATAGTGTCATCGCTGGTCATGATTCTGATGGCACCTGTGGTATTGCCCTCTTCTATTTTCCTGGTGATCTGTGCTCTCATTTTGTGGTTCTCAGATATATATATATATATATATATATATATATATATATATATATATATATATATATTATATATATTTATAATAAGAACTAGTAGCCAGAATGCAGTATTTGGCCTACTATGCAAGGGCTGATTTGCCTAATAAGCCAAGTTTTCCTAAATTTATATAGTTTTCCCTTTTTTTTCTTATGAAATGATAAAGCTATCCATTTCAATATGTATGAGTATTTTTGTTAAATAGATAAACATAAAGAATGCTCACAGTGAATATTATAGTTCATACTTTTCATCTTATGGTATTAAAATCTCCAGAAACTATATTGCAACTTGGATAATTGCTTATTACATCCTTCTAATAATGTAGCATTTTCTTCTTCCAGTACTTAATTAAAGTGAATGAAATCAAGACCAAAAAGGGAGTGGAATTTTTGCAGAAGCTTGTGGAGTATTACCATGCATATTGCAAGTAAGTTTAGATATGAATATTATATTGTACACTTTCATATTTGCAGGCAGTTTAGTCATGGTCTAAATATAAATATACACCCCTACAATATAATCTTATATTGTAGGGGTGTTTAAGAGTTGCTAGGTAATGTTGTTAATGTTGTAATTGCCATTTAAATGTTAGATAAAAGTACACAGACAAAGTGTGAAAAAAGAATAAAAAATGGAATGTAGGGGAGGCGGAACAAAGGGCAGACGGAATACAGGACAAATTTGAATACAGGACAGATCAAAAGAAACGACAGAACAAAAAAATAAAGAACAATGAATGAAAGAAATAATAGAACAAAAGGAAAATAGAAAAGCAAAGAATAGAAGAATGAAAGAGTAGAAAATGAATGGAAAAGAGGGAGAATGAAAGAAAGAAGAGGGAAATGAAAGAAATTCCAGAAAGAACAAAAAAAGAATGAAATAATATAAAAATAAAGGAAGAACATAAAGAATAAAAGAAATAACAAAGAATGAATTAAATGTAGTATGGAAGGAAGAACAGAAGGAAGAAGAAGAGAACAAAATTAAGAACAAATAGATAAATGAAAACAGAATGAAGGCATGAAAGAACAAAATGAAAAAGAATAAAATGAGAGAGAGAGAGAGAGAGAGAGAGAGCACAACAAAATTAAAAGAACAGGAACCAAATTAAAATAGAACAACATGTAAACAGAACAAATAATTTAAAGAATGAACAAAAAGGAAAGAAAAGACTCAAGAACAAAGGATGAAATAACATAGAAAAAATGTAAGAATAGAACATGAACAAAAGTGAAAAAGAAACCAATAATGCAAAAAAGAATTAATTAAACTGAACAAAAGAACAGTGAAAGAACGGATTGAAGGAATGAAAGATCAGAAATAATGCAAAAACAAAGCATTAAATAAAGAATAAAAATAAGAATGTAAGAACAGAAATAAAACAAAAAAAACAAAGAATGAAAGAATGAAAGAACAAAAGAAGGGAAAAAGACGAAACAAAAGAAGAAGCAGTGAGAATACAAGACCACACAAAATGAAAGAAAGACTCAAAGGAATGAAACACCAGAATTAAAGAAGAGAGTAAAACATGAAAAAATAAAGAATGAATAGAAAGAAAGAAAAAATATAAAAAAGGAAAGAAAAAAAGAAAGAAAGAAAATAGAAAAAAAAAGAGAAAAAATGAAAGAAGAGAAAGAAATTAAGAAAAGAACGAAAGAACAACGAATTGAAGACCCCAAATAATGAAAGAGCAGACCAAAATTACAGAAATAATGAAAGGAAGAGCAAAAGAGTGAAGAAAAAATTCTAAAATGAGCAAAAAGAGATGACACTAAGATCTATGATAAAGCGGGAAGTGAAGGTGATATTGAGACCTTACAAAAAGATCTACATGAACTCCACAAATGGTCTCGTAGCCTGTGGATAGCGCGCAGGACTCATAATTCTGTGGCGCGGGTTCGATTCCCACATGAGGCTATCTTGAGGTTATCTTGAGATGATTTCGGGGCTTTTAGTGTCCCCGCGCCCGGTCCTCGACCAGGCCTCCACCCCCAGGAAGCAGCCCGTGACAGCTGACTAACTCCCAGGTACCTATTTTACTGCTAGGCAGAAACAGGCAGACTGCTGCTTTACTGCTTGAGGCAGAAACAAATGGGCAAAGTTTCTTTCACCCTGAATGCCCCTGTTACCTACCAGTAAATAGGTACCTGGGAGTTAGTCAGCTGTCACGGGCTGCTTCCTGGGGTGGAGGCCTGGTCGAGGACCGGGCCGCGGGGACACTAAAGCCCCGAAATCATCTCAAGATAACCTCAACATAACCTCAAGATGGTTAGATGACTGGCAAATGCTTTTTAATGTCGATGAATGCAAGACCTCGCATGTGGGGACTGAATGTCACAACTACCAAATTGACACCACTACCTTACAACAGATAGATGAAGAAAAGGACCTTGGAGTCAGAATCCATCATTCACTAAAAGTTGCACAACAAGTGGAAGTGGCAGTAAAAAAGTGAACCAAACCCGGGGAAATATCGAGCGTACCTTTACCTTCAAGGGAAAAGAAAGTAGTCGTTCAATTGTATAAGTCTCTAGTGTGTCCCCACCTGGATTATTGCATCCAGGCATGGAGATCTCGTCTTCAGAAAGACATTGCTGCTCTGGAGAAGGTGCAACACCGGGTAACAAAAAATCATCCCCAGAGCTTAGTCAGCTTTCGTGTCAGGAATGGTTAAGGGCCACAGGGCTAACAACACTGCAGACAGTCATGACAAGGCAGATCTCAGAGAAGGGAGGAGACAACTCCCTTTAAAATGTTTAAACAATTTGGACGGATGTCGATCCGAACAGTTTTCTCCAAAAAGTCAGATGTGAGACAAATGAGGAGCAATGGTTTTCATGCTCAACTAGCCACAATGTAGGACAGAAAACAGGAGCTGCTTTTTTCACCCATAGGGTTGTAAACCTGATGAATTCCCTTCCCACTGAAGCCGTAAATGGCAAAACCTCTGCTGAGTTTTAAAATACAGCTTGAAAAGATCACCAGGGCAATTGGGGGACCTTTGACAAGCTGCCAACTTCCTGTCTTTGTCGAGGTCATTAATATTATTGACCCTCAGGTAAATTCGGGTAAACGCACAAAAATTAGAGAAACCAGAAAGAAAGAATGTAATTACAAAAATAATAAAAGAAGGCAATAATAACTAAAGAAAGAATAAGCGAAAGAGAAGAAAGGAGGAGGCAGAAGACAGGAGGAGGCAGAAGACAGGAGGGGGCAGAAGACAGGAGGGGGCAGAAGACAGGAGGAGGCAGAAGACAGGAGGAGGCAGAAGACAGGAGGAGGCAGAAGACAGGAGGAGGCAGAAGACAGGATGAGGCAGAGAACAGGAGGAGGCAGAAGACAGGAGGAGCAGAAGACAGGAGGGGGCAGAAGACAGGAGGGGGCAGGAGACAGGAGGGGGCAGAAAGACAGGAGGGGCAGAAGACATGAGGAGGCAGAAGACAGGAGGAGGCAGAAGACAGGAGGAGGCAGAAGACAGGAGGGGCAGAAGACAGGAGGGGGCAGAAGACAGGAGGGGCCAGAAGACAGGAGGAGGCAGAAGACAGGAGGAGGCAGAAGACAGGAGGAGGCAGAATACAGGAGGAGGCAGAAGACAGGAGGAGGCAGAAGACAGGAGGGGGCAGAAGACAGGAGGAGGCAGAAGACAAGAGGGGGCAGAAGACAGGAGGAGCAGAAGACAGGATGAGGCAGAAGACAGGAGGGGGCAGAAGACAGGAGGAGGCAGAAGACAGGAGGAGGCAGAAGACAGGAGGGGCGAGAGAATGAGGAGGTGGCAGAAGACAGGAGGGGGCAGAAGACAGGAGGGGGCAGAAGACAGGAGGGGGCAGAAGACAGGAGGGGGCAGAAGACAGGAGGGGGCAGAAGACAGGAGGAGGCAGAAGACAGGATGAGGCAGAAGACAGGAGGAGGCATAAGACAGGAGGAGGCAGAAGACAGGAGGAGGCAGAAGACAGGAGGATGCAGAAGACAGGAGGGTGCAGAAGACAGGAGGGGGCAGAAGACAGTAGGGGGCAGAAAGAACGGGATGGGGCAGAAGACGGAGGGGGCAGAATACGGGAGGTGGCAGAAGACGGGAGGGGGCAGAAGACGGGAGGGGGCAAAAGACGGGAGGGGGCAAAAGACGGAGGGGGGGGAGGGCAGAAGACAAGGGGGGGCAAAAGACGGGAGGGGGGCAGAAGAATGGTGGGCCAGAAGAAAATTAAGAGAAGTGGTTAAGGCAGGATAGATAGACAAAAAGAACGAAATATGATAGGAAGGAAGGAAGGAAGGAAGGAAGAGAAAAATAATGAATGAAGAAACAAACCATCTTGGACGAAAGAAAAGAAAGAACAAAGGAAAGAAGGGAAGAAAGAATGAAGGAGTGAAAGAATGAAATAAAAAACAAAGAAAGTGGGGAAAGAAAAGTAAAAAAGTAAACTAAAGAGTGAAATAGAGAAATAAGAAAAGCAAGAAGAAACGAAAGACAACGAAAGACAAAAACAAATGAAATAAAAAGAAAGAACAAAAAAAAAGAAATAAGAAAGAAAGAAGGAAACAAACAAAAAGAAACAAAGAAGGAAGGAATGAGAGTGAAATAAAGTATGACAATGAACAAAAGAATGAAAGAAAAGGAAAGGAGGAAAAGAAGAAATGTGTAAAGGAGCAATGAAGGAAATATTAAAGGAGTATGGGAGGTATGGTGGAGAGGATGAATGGGGGACTGAAAGAAACGGAAAGCTTTCCCTTCTTCCATGTTGGCCATGATTGAACTTTACTTTACCTGCAGCGGAGGAGTGGGGTACAGCTCGGTGGCCCAACCGTCCTGGATTTAGACTTGGCAGTGATAATGTGTACGGCATTCTCATAGTCCATTTGCATCCATGGGCTTCACACAGGGGCTCGGTTTCTAGGCAGTTGGTAGTAGTTGATTTACTTCATTCTTGGGGTCTTCATTTGCTGGTCTTCTATCTTGAGCTCTTCTTTCTTCTGGCATTTTCCATCAAGCTTGGATCGTTGGCCTTCTTGGGTTTCATGGGAGTTTTACTTCTTGTTGACATAGCAGTGCTTTCGTTCAAGGTTATAGGTGTGGTGTCCAGAAGGAAATCCTCAGGGCTGTAGTTGCACTCCCATTGAGGAGAGTATGGTGTTCCAACTGAGACTTCTTTCTTCGTCTGATGAATTGAAAGCAGAGGCGGTGATCCTTAGGGTTGAGTAAATAGCTGGTTCTGCAGCCAGAGAAGGAGGTTTGGTGGGAGTATACACAGTCTGTGGAATGACGATAGTAGGTGGCTCTGAAGGAGACATGGTGGCAGACTATGCAGCTGCAGGGATGGGTGGGTGTAACTGCAGCATATATCGTCGGATGTAAAGGCGTTGGTTCCGGGGTGGGCATCCTCCACCGTAGCTGCAGGAATGAGTATTACAACAGTAGACAATAGATCTATGAGC